AGGTATCTGCTCAAGGTGGATGACTGGAGCTGTTCAACAGAGGGTTTTAGCACCTGTAGCTGAGAATTAGCTTGCTGTCAGGATAATGTTGGGTGAACTGATCAGCAACTGCTGGCACAGCAAAATACCAGCTCATCATCCTCGGAGTGGAGAGCACGTGTTAGGTCATCCAGGCCATGGATCGATTTCCTGAGGGCAACACTTCTTTTGTTGTTAGACCTTTTAGTAACACCCTGCTGGAGCCGGGTGTTTGTGGGAGCCTGTGTGCTAATGCTGGCATTGTGTCCAGCAGCTGGGAAAGGACTGGGACCTGTTGCTCTGTGTGTCTGGGGTTAGTATGTTGCCAGATTGTTTGCAGATGCTGTGAGCTGAGGCAGGGTAGGTGTGTAAGAAGTAATCGGAAAGACTTTAACTACCTTTTTTTTTCCTCATTTTTGACAGGACAGTTCTTTCAATTCTGTATGTAAATGTTTCCTTTAGAAACCTTTAGAAGATGTTATATATAAAGTACTTGTTAATTAAATCAATCCATCAGTCAAAGCCAGGTGAAAATGTAACGAATAAAAGACACCTTTTCATTTTTTTCCTATTCTTTAAGATGTCTAAGTTTACATAAATACACATAAGCCTACTAATATTTAATGTTACTGGGATTTCCAAATTCTGTTCTCCTTGCTGCCTCTATTCAGTTTTAGGGATTTATAATGAAAATGTCACTGACTTTCAATCATCATGGCTCAAACTGAAAACCTTTAAATACGGTGTTATTTTAAGAGGAGCACTTTATATAGCTCCTATTATATATAACTCGTTACTCCATGCTGCAAGTTTTCTTTTCAAAGTCAGTTAGAATGGATGCGTGCAGATACCAAACTCTCACCTCAGCAAGGTGTTTTTATACCAGTGTGGTGTCTCTGTATCTGGTTGTATCTTTCAAGACTTTTATTCAGGAGAGCAAGTGGAGACAGAACATCCCCATTGCAGCAGTCAGGTAATTGAAATCAATGTGTGCCCTTGAACTGTCCTGCATCTCAAAAATAGATTGATATTTTGATACCAACACAACAAACTTCTATTTTACTCCCATGAGCATCTGGCCTGCTTTGGATTTTACAGGAACAATGACTTCAAATCTTAGTAATACAAAGAAAGAAGTGCTTTGATAGTCAGCCTGAAAACATGTGAGCTGTCTGATCTTTGACTATGTATCTAGATAGTATTTGCATTCTGGTGCAAGTCCTATCATAAGGTTTATAGCTTCCAAGCAGTTTCATATTCATGGTTTCTGATGAGAAAAGCCTTTTCCAGTGGCCAGTCTACTGTACATGAGAAATAAAATGCCTTTTGCTCACATCCAGGAAGAAAACTTACAGGTTATGTAGACGCAGCTGTTAGAGGTTTTGTTCTTGTGATGAAAGCTTTTTTCCCTCCCTCATTATTTCTTTTATTAGCTACAGTATGCTCAGCATGGATTTTAAACTACTCTTTAAAGAGCATCTACTTTATGCTTATTTATTGTAAGGTGTCACATAGAAATGATAGGTATGTACAGATTTAAGTCAAGTGATTGTTGTGCATTGCAGCTGCAGTGGCAATTAGATTTATTCATATTTTCCATATATCATCCAGTTGCCTTATATGTCCATCTTTGCCTCCTGCACTGCCCTTATCCTCACTAAAGCTTTCAGCAATGTTAAATAGAAATATGTATTTGGAGTTATAATTCAGCTGAAGGAGGCAAGCTGTAAATCATACATTGCTTGGAAAATTTTCACTGGCATGGATGCTAAAGGGATGAACTCAGTAGGTCTCCTGCTTCCATAATTTTAGCTGTGACAATACTTACGGAGAAACTCTGTGATCTGAGAAAGCCCTGTAGTTTTTGGATGTAAAAAGGTCATGGCTCATCCTGCTGCTTTGGAACGAGGCATGTATTATCACTAATGCGGTGGGTTTAGGATCAGCTCCTGTGGCAGTGTTGTGAGCCCCAGAGAAGAAAGGATCTTGTCAAATGAACATGTAAATATCAGTATGTCCTGTGCATTTTTTTGTACACCAGTTTCTAGCCAGCTAAGTGTAGTGTCAGTTCCTCCCTGCTGAGCCACTGAGTGAGCTATGGGATCAGTAAATAGTACCAGATGGAAAGGGCTGGAGCCTGGAATACTCTCATTATTCCCTTAGTAGGTGCAGCTTGGACAACCCAAGTAAATCCTTTTCCTCCTACTGCCCTTCTAAAATTTCCCACTGCTGCCTGGAAAGGAATATTTGAATGGTGAGAAAATCACTTCTATTCAGTTACTTAGCTCTAGCAGGGCATTGCTGGGATCTGGGAGGGCATGGGATTAATGTGGTTGAGAAGCATCTTTCCAAGAAAGTCCTGTGTGAAGCTAATGCAATTGCAACACAGGTTACCTTTGGCAAAATGAAGTTTGTTACTTTGCAGTCTCCCAAACTTCGTTGAAGTGGTTTATGTACTTTTTGGCATGCTTAGAAACAAGACTTGAGACCAATTGTCCCTCACATTGCGTTTAAGCATCAGTGGCTGGAGGGCTGGATGACTGGCTGCCTGCCATCTAGTCTATACAATGTCTGCTCCTGTTGGAATGAATTCCTTTGGAACTATTATACAGCTGGCTGGGTTCTCTAGCCCCTTATGGTAATCATTAACTCTAACTTTTGGGTTCCAAGTGCTCTCCAAATCCAGTGGGTATAACCTAGGTGGCTTTTCAAACCTGGACTACAGAACTTGGGGGTAAGGGACTCTTAACACCTTTAGGGGTTGGGCCCATAGGGATCCAGTCTTCCTTGTCAGTTGCTCCTTTTGCTTCTCCTCTGGGTTTCTCAACACCCTGTCCATTCTTGCTTGAGAGCCTTTCCCTTTTAAAAGAAGGGCCTGGCACTTTTCTTTCCTTCTCATCTTGGGATTTTCCATTGTGTCAGTTCTTGAACAGGATTGTTGCTTTAGAGCCGCTAAAGGTCAGTGGTTTGCTTGCTGCTGTGCGTGGCTGTACAGGATGTTACCTCCACTGCAGTCTGGATGAGGCTGCTGGGTGGCCGATAGTGCTTTATCAGATGTGGATATGATTTCTTCTGCCATAAAAAAGGGAGTTTTAGGTACATAGAGGAATGTGAGAAAGGTTTGTTGTGTCACAGAAAACATCAGTATAATCACTATAATTTAACAACAGCTATAAATGCAAATGAAGAAATGGATTAATATGAGTTATAAAGAGAGATATATCCACATGTATTGGAAGATACAGCCTCCAGAACAAAGTACTGCTCACAGTGTTTCAGTTAGCATCAACCTGCTGACTGAGGATTGATCTGGGTTAATAAATTCTATCCACAGTGGGGAAACTATTAAGAATGACAGTGAACAGCTAATACCAATACTTTTAGTTCTAAGTTTGTACTGAACCAGTTTCTCCTGGTTATCAGGGGAGGGCTTATTTTCTGCAGGGTGGCAATTTGCCCCTGGAGGTAACAACAGTGATTATAGCACTTGCTTTCTGTGGTGCTTTTTTCAAGAGCATGAGAGTCAATTGTCTTGGTCTAAATCGAATCTTAACGTGTTGCATTAAGTCTTCATGGCTTTTTCTGTTGTGTACAGTTATTCAGTATTTAGTATTTCAGAGTATTTCTGCTCATCAGTTCCTTTATCCATTTCCAAAACTGGTTAAGGGAAGGGGGGCAGGCGTTACCTACTATCTCATAAGTGCTACTGCTACAAGTAATTTGTGGGTGTCATGTAAACTACGCTCCTCCCATAGCTACACACACCTGTGAAGGTATGAAGTTTAGTTATCAAGGTGAAGATGAGCAATCCCTTGTACATCCTCAGAGTAGCAGTTAGGACAAAGCTGGATGGACTACAAAGCAGGTGTCCAAATACTGTGGAGAACTTGGCTCAAAGGAAGCACTGGAGGTTCATCCTTCACCTTCTAGGCACTATGAAATTCTGCAGATGGAATCCAAAACCAGATTTTGACCTACATGTCTATGGAACTGATAATACCAATAGAGAGAAATAGGCCAGGTTCCCGTGGTAAAGCAATTGCTGGAATTCCTGATATCAAATATAAACATCTATACTCTTAAAATGACAAAACGAGTCACATTAACAATCACATATAGAAATAAATGTATTCTCCTTGCGTGTATACTTGATAATTTTTGTACAGGGCATCTGAATAGGTTTTACTGAAATATGTAACTAGCTTAGTAAGGCATAAAATGAAATCTTAGCATGAAACTCTGCTTCAGTAGCCATGTATGTCAGATTGTACACGGGGAGGTCCTACCTGATTAGTTCTGGGTTTTGAAGTGATGCAACATAGTGATTTCTTGTTCTCTCAGATTACCTTTTTAAATAAAAGGTTTGTTATTAGGCATTCAAGTGTACAGATTTCTATGCTAGCTCAAGACTAAAAATCAATATTTCTGTTTAGAGGATAATCGATGCCCTTGAAGAAGAAAAGCAGTTCCTCACCGCATCAATCACAGATTACCTGAAGGACTATCAAGAACTACTGCAGGTGAAAACAGGCCTCATCCTTGAAATTGAAACCTACAGGTAAGAATTGCCGTCTCACTAAATCATCTAATCAGAAGATGATTTAAATCGCTCTTTATAGGTTTCAGGAGCCCTAGTCACTCTCTTTCCAGCATTTAGAGTATAGCTGCTCTTAGAGTCCGAGATCAAGACTCCTTGCATGTCTTGTGGTTTGTTAAACAGAGCAAATGGGCCCCTAATATGGGTTTTTAGCTTGCTGTTGGCTTGTTCTGTGACACAGGTCACTATACTATTCTGCGCTTGACTGTGATGTCTGTGAAAGGAAGATAACACCCCTTCAGAAGGCTGCTAGTACGTGTGAAGTTGTCTGAGATCTCTGCGAAAACTGTAAGAATAGTAAAATAACATTATTAGTTAGTAACACTAAGAATCGCCAGTGGGCAGAGGTGACTGTAATTTGATCATTCAAGCAAAACTATCTGTTAGTATTTCCTTCTATTCCTCTGTCCCCAGAACAACATGTTAGAGGAGACAAAACATACAGCTTAACAAATGCAGTGATATGTAAGAAACCTTCTTAGTTCTGATCAAGTTGTTATCATGTGATGTGAATTGTTGAGGCAATATTTGATTACAAGCTGAGGAGCCAGTATCCCTACATTGCAATCAATAAAACATGAGGTAGCATAGTTGCCAGCTGTCAACTTACATGGCATGTGTAATTGTTTGAATATGTTGATTAGCGTTCACCTAATTTAATTGTAGTTGTATAATTGAAAATGAGAAGCTTGAAAGAGTAGATTCTGAGTAGCTTGCTGACAAGTTGGTGAGAAAAGGATGTCTGTAGTCCATCAAAGAGAAGCAATGGTCTGTTCAAGATGCCTTGAGTATTGTGTGCAATGAGGTACAGACCAAGGCTGGCTTCTGGATGACATGAAATCACAAGCAGTATGTGGGACAAGTAATTTGCAGTCAGTTGGTGAGCAACAATACCTGGATGTTTGTTGGTGGAGTGGGATCCCTGTGATCCTTGGAAAGCCAATAGTATCTGGAGCATTACTAGTAGAAGAGAAACTGAGGAAATGGTAGCCAGCTGTGGTCCTTACTGGTGTGTGTTAATTCTGTTAACTTTGCTAAAATATACCATTCTTTTAATCCTAGCTCTGATGTTGACTTACTGTTGTCACTTAAACTTTCTCCCTTAGTTTATTCATCTGCAAAATGGGATTAGCACTTTCACAATGACAGCATTATCAGGATTGTTCTGATGATTAGTATTCATCCAGAAGTAGGCATGATAATGCCCAGTTATTTAGTTGTTTGGACACTCTCTTAGTTGATAAGTGAACCATCATCAGTGCTTCTGCTCTGTAAAACCTTGTAAGCCCATTAAATTCCAGAACTTTTCCAGAGGTCATATCACCAATTATCTGAGCACTATTGGTGTGTCTAAGGATTCCCTACCCTTCTTAATGAAAGGAGAATGAACAGTTCGGCATCAGCTCCAGCATATGTTTGTTGTCTAGTTAAGAAGCTCCTTAACCTGATCCTTAACCTGGGGCAAGGCCAGCCACAAGGCCACATAGGAAAAGGGGGTCGACTTTGCACCTCAGGACTGCCTCTGTTAAGAAAGAAAGAAGGGTCATTGTAGTAGGGGATTCCCTTCTGAGAGGAACAGAGGGCCCGATATGCAGAGTTGACCCTCATCATAGGGAAGTGTGTAGTCTGCCTGGAGCCCGGATCAGGGATATCACCAGGGCGCTCCCCAGCCTGGTGCACCCGACAGACTACTACCCGCTGCTGGTCTTCCAGACAGGTGGGGAGGAAGCTGCTTCCCGCAGTCTGAGGGGGATGAAGAAAGACTACAGGGCCTTGGGGAGGATGGTGAAAGAGTCTGGGGCTCAAGTGATCTTCTCTGCACTCCTTCCATCTTCCACTGATGATGTGGGAAGGAATGGGAAGATTCAGTTCATGAACGATTGGCTACGAGACTGGTGCTACAGGCAGGGCTTTGGATTCTTTGATAATGGCTGGTTTTATAGGGCACCAGTCTGGACAATGTCAAGTGAGAAAGGTTTGTCTCACAGAGGCAAAAGGATGCTGGGGCACGAATTAGCAGGGCTCATTTGGAGAGCTTTAAACTAGATTCGAAGGGGGATGGGGTTGTTGCTGGGCTTGCCCCAGTGGGGCAGCGCTCCAGAATTAATGAAGACTGGGAGGCCTCCTATAATCCTAGGGTGAAGTCGGTGTGCTCAGCTCGCTCCCTGAAATGTCTGTACACCAATGCGCGCAGCATGGGAAATAAACAGGAGGAGTTGGAAACCTGTGTTAAGTCAGGAGACTATGATCTGGTGGCAATTACAGAGACGTGGTGGGACAGCTCACATGACTGGAATATAGTCATGGAGGGCTATGTCCTTTTCAGGAAAGACAGGCCAGCCAGGAGGGGTGGTGGGGTCGCTCTTTATGTGCGGGAGGAACTACAATGCACCGAGTTCTGTCTGGGGACAGATGATGAGCGAGTTGAGAGTCTGTGGGTGAGAATTAAGGGGCAGGCTGGCAGGGGGGATACTGTTGTAGGTGTCTGTTACAGACCACCAGATCAGGGTGAGGAAGTTGACGAGGCCTTCTACAGGCAGCTGAGAGAGGCCTCACAGTCACAGGCCGTGGTCGTCATGGGGGATTTTAACTTCCCTGATGTTTGCTGGAAGGACCACTCGGCAACCCAGCCGCAGTCCAGGAGGTTCCTCCAGTGTATGGATGATAACTTCCTCCTGCAAATGGTGGATGAGCCGACCAGGAGAGGAGCACTGCTGGATCTCATCCTCACTAACAAGGAGGGTCTGGTTGAAGCAGTAAGGGTAGAGGGCTGCCTTGGTTGCAGCGACCACGAGATGGTGAAGTTCAGGATCCTGTGTGGCAGGACTAGTAGAATACCAAGTAGAATTGCAACCCTGGACTTTAGCAGGGCAAACTTTGGCCTTTTCAAGCAATTGCTAGGGAAAATCCCATGGGCAAGGCTGCTTGAAGGAAAAGGGGCCCAAGATAGTTGGTTGACATTCAAGGACTGCTTTTTCCGTGCTCAAGATAGGAGCATCCCGACACGTAGGAAGTCAAGGAAGAGGGCCAAGAGACCTGTGTGGCTAAATAGGGAATTGCTGGGTATGCTCAAGTGGAAGAGGAGAGTTTACAGGTCATGGAAGGAGGGGCTGGCCACTTGGGAGGAATATAAGGCTGCTGCTAGGGGATGTAGGAAGGCAGCTAGGAGGACTAAGGCTTCCTTAGAATTAAACCTGGCAAGAAGGGTCAAGGACAGCAAAAAGAGCTTTTTCAAGTACATGGCAGACAAAACTAACACCAGAGGCAATGTAGGCCCACTGATGAACGGGATGGGTGCCCTGGTGACAGAAGATGCAGAGATGGCAGAGTTACTGAATGCCTTCTTTGTCTCTGTCTACTCTGCTGCAGGCAGTCCTGAAGAGCCCTGTACCCCTGAGACCTTAGATGAAGTCAGGTCGACCGAGCGACTTGCCTTAGTCGATGAGGAATGGGTTAGAGATCAGTTGAGCAATCTGGACGTCCATAAATCCATGGGTCCAGATGGGATGCACCCGCGGGTGCTGAGGGAACTGGCGGAAGTCATTGCTAGACCACTCGCCATCATCTTTACCAAGTCCTGGGAAACGGGAGAGGTGCCTGAGGACTGGAGGAAGGCAAATGTCACTCCGGTCTTCAAAAAGGGCAAGAAGGAGGACCCGGGTAACTATAGACCGGTCAGCCTCACCTCCATCCCTGGGAAAGTGATGGAACACCTTGTCCTTGGTGCCATCTTAAAGCATGTCAAGGATAAGAGGGTTATGAGGGGCAGTCAACATGGCTTCACCAGGGGGAAATCATGTTTGACCAATCTCTTAGCCTTTTATGAGGAAATAACACGGTGGATGGATGATGGCAGAGCGGTGGATGTGGTCTACCTTGACTTCAGCAAAGCCTTTGACACAGTCTCCCACAGCATCCTCACGGCTAAATTGAGGAAGTGTGGACTGGATGACCAGGTAGTGAGGTGGACTGCGAACTGGCTGAAGGAGAGAAGCCAGAGAGTTGTAGTTTATGGGGCTGAGTCTAGTTGGAGGCCTGTAACTAGTGGAGTGCCTCAAGGGTCAGTACTGGGACCGGTATTATTTAATATATTCATCAATGATTTAGATGAGGGAATTGAGTGTACTATCAGCAAGTTTGCTGATGACACTAAGCTGGGAGGAGTGGCTGACACGCCAGAAGGCTGTGCTGCCATCCAGCGAGACCTGGACAGGCTGGAGAGTTGGGCAGGGAATAACGGGATGAAATATAACAAGGGAAAGTGTAGAGTCCTGCATCTGGGCAGGAACAACCCCAGGTTCCAGTATAGGTTGGGGAACGACCTGCTAGAGAGCAGTGTAGGGGAGAGGGACCTGGGGGTCCTAGTGGACGACAGGATGACCATGAGCCAACACTGTGCTCTTGTGGCTAAGAAGGCCAATGGCATCCTGGGATGTATTAGAAGGGCGGTGGTTAGTAGGTCGAGAGAGGTCCTCCTTCCCCTCTACTCTGCCCTGGTGAGACCCCATCTGGAATATTGTGTCCAGTTCTGGGCCCCTCAGTTCAAGAAGGACAGGGAGCTGCTGGAGAGAGTCCAGCGCAGGGCAACCAAGATGATTAAGGGAGTGGAGCATCTCCCTTATGAGGAAAGACTGAGGGAGCTGGGTCTTTATAGTTTAGAGAAGAGGAGACTGAGGGGTGACCTTATAAGTGTCTATAAATATATAAAGGGGGAGTGTCACGAGGATGGAGCCAGGCTCTACTCAGTGGCAAACAATGATAGGACAAGGGGTAATGGGTGCAAACTGGAACACAAGAGGTTCCACTTAAACTTGAGAAGGAACTTCTTCTCAGTGAGGGTGACGGAACACTGGAACAGGCTGCCCAGGGAGGTTGTGGAGTCTCCTTCCCTGGAGACATTCAAAGCCCGCCTGGACACATTCCTGTGTAACGTTATCTAGGTGTTCCTGCTCTGGCAGGGGGATTGGACTAGATGATCTTTTGAGGTCCCTTCCAATCTCCAGCATACTGTGATACTGTGATACTGTGAACCTGTAGGGTTTCTTCAGCTGATTGTAGTGAATGCCACTTGTATCACTGATTGGGTTGGCAAGGCAGACTTCGGTGGACAAATGAGCACCTATCTACTGAAAAAGATGAAAACAGAGAAATGAGTCTTGCTAAGATCAGAGAACATGCTATCTAATGCCTGCAAACAAAGTGATTTTTGAAATACCAGAAGCTAAAAAGGGATTGGTTTGTGTTTTTACGCTTATGGAGTTTTGCCATATCTTCTCTTCTTATTCTCCCTACTGTATGCCTTCATCAGCACTGTTGTGGAGGGAGCCAGTATGGATCCAGTTAGTAAGCTGTCTAGCAAGAGAATTCCAGACTGCTCATCTATGTACTTTTTCACATCCTGTTCCTCTCACAGGTCTTTTTATCTGTGATAACCAGGGCATGTGATACCAGATCCAGGTTGTTTTCATGAAGGATGCTGGCATACACCCTTGCTTATGCATATTGAAAACAAAAGGCACCTGTTCACACTTAGTTCAACATCCTGAACTTTTCACTGAGGGGTTTCCATGAGGGCCTTGGCACCAATTTTTGTCCTGGCATTATAGGTTAAGGGTGTGGTATCTGGTCTACTTCTTGGGGCTCTCTTTGTACCTCCCACCCTGTATTTTCTCTTTGTTTTACAACTACAGATTTGGTTTTAAAGCCAGTTCTTTCCATTAGTCAACACTGCTCCTGGACTGGCAAGAGGGATCATTGTTGCAAGGAACACCCTTCCTCAAAGACCACATGTACTTCCTCTCTGAACCTGCTCACCCTTCCTGCTCTGGGACCTGAGGCTCTCTGATATATATGATATATATGTCATATGATATATATGTCTTAAGTGGCTTTATGAAGTCGTATCTCCTGGGAATCTTCATTCCCAATCCTTTTTCACCAGTGTTGAAGTAAATATTTATGTCTTGCAGTTTTGTTCTGTGTTCTTGGAACCCAGCAAAACTGCAACTACGTAGGCTATTCTGAAGTTTTATTTCCAGAGGGAAGTGGTGAATGAATCACTGTGCAAGACTCTTAGTTCTAAAAGCACATAGAAAAATCTGCCTAGGATCGTAATTACTAACAAGCCTTTCTCCTCAGCTATCAGAAGCTTCTTCTCTTCAAACAGCAGAGGCTGCCCAGAGCTTCTGCCATACGTTAAGTAGTTTTTCTGCATCCTCTAAAATATGGTATTATTGAAGGGTGAAAGATTTTACTTTGAACTCCTAGAGCCATGCCAGTGTTCTGTTCTAGGTTACCACCCTGCATTTTGAGGCCGGGAAGGCTACAAAGCTTTTTGTTTGTTTTGTCTTTTTGCCTGGTCATTGTCAGGATCTCTCAATACACTTGCCAGGAACACCCTGCAATCCTCCTTCAGTTGGTTTACAACTTGTACAATTCAATATGTCCCATTCCTGGATTTATTTTGAGACCATTCTGAGTTTTCCACACCCAGGGAATTTAACATGCAGGCAGTTACTTGCTGTTCTTCATAGAGTCCTTGTCCTCCCATCTTGAGATGGAAAAAAGATGTGGAATGGTCTTGGCCTCTAAAAATTCCACTTCCTGGAGGGCTGTTTTTTGGTACCTCCTTACCAAATCCCCACGATAGAGAGGATGCATTTTTATAACCTGCTGGCTAACAGTCTGTCTGAGATTGTGGGTTTCTGCAGTTGAAACAAAGTCACTGCTGTTGTCTAATGACCATGATAACATTTGCACTGCATCCTTATAACTTCTTCCCCACCCATACCAGTTTATTTCATCCACCTGCTTTCATGGACTGGTTATTTCTGTTGTCATCCAGCACACTGAGGGCTTCAGCCTGGCAAGCACGTCACTGCTAACTTTAGATAAGTGACGTTAATGATAAGATGAGCTAAAGGTGTAGTTGGAACTGGCAACACTTGCACACATTGTGTTAACACTTGGTTTATGTCATTTGGGATCCAATTTCCAGGAAGTAGCTGATCTGGTTATTTTTTAGAAGTGCTGCTCGGAGGAATGTTTTTTGTCACTACTGTGAATTCTGAAGGGTTAATGGAGTTGAAAGTAACACCTTGTTTTTCAGGCAGTTTAAGTTTAAAAGCACTCCTCATCACAAAGAGGTTATAGTTTAAATGAGTAGTATTAGGAAAGGATGTAAATGAACAGAGAAGCAAAATTACTTGTGTGAACTGAAGCTATGGTCAAGCTGAGGAAGATAACCAGAGTTTACTGGCTTCCAGGCCAGTGCTCAGTACATTACAGTTTATTAAGCCAAAGTCAGTTTAACATTTTCTTGCTTATCTGATAAGCCTGAGGGCATGCATATTTACACGGATTTACTGTTTGGTTTTATAGATATTTCATGAAGCTTTGCCTTTCATTTTCAAGTACATTGTATTTTCAGTAGTAATATTTCAGATCCAGCTTTTCTGTTTGCTGTTGCCCTTTGCCATATACAGTTACCTCTTGGAGCTTATTTTTAGTGACTTCATACGTTGCTGCAGCAACTGAACAACTGTTGTTTTAACAGCAGCCAGAAATCCTTAGTCAAACTACCCACATTCCTGGTTTCCTTCGTCATGGTTAACCCTTTCTTTACCAGCATCTTGATATGTTTTGCAGCGTCACCACCAGCTTCTTCAGAGGATCTCTGTTGGAGCTGTTAGTTTGGCACTCAGTAGCTTCATCAGATCAGACGTTTGGTCTGGGAAACATTGTCTGTATGTGGTGAAGTCATCTAATTCCTATAAAGCCTCTCTTAATATGGAGGAAGATAAATTGCTTTTACTTTGGTTTTTTTTTTTTTGACTAACAAAATAGAAGTAAAGGTGTCCATTTGAGCCTGTTTTAAGGGGGAAAGTGATCTGTAAATATGTTAGGTAATTCTAATCTGGCTTTTCTTCTGAATTCAGGCGAATCCATGATTGCAAAGAACCTTACTAATATTTTGCTGATGTAGCATTATCCTACTGAATCTAGAGGCAGTCAAAACCCAAGAGGCATTAAGTGTACAAAGTGATCAGCCACGTGAAGTGTGAAGCCTACAGCTGACATTTGAAGTGCCTACTTTGTTAATTTTGACAGAAATGCCCAGCAAATGTGTTTTATACCACAATCCTAAATTGCTCTCAACTCCTCCCCCCCCACCCCAGGAGTCAGAAGCCTTGGCTATCATAATCTTCCAGCTTTACTCATGACAACTTTAATGCTGCAGCTGTATGTTATCAGTGCAGAACATCTGGCATTTCCAAGACTGGAAATGATGAAATGAGTACCTCACTAGTTGAAGTGAATATGAAAACACCAAAGTTTCTGTACTGATTATAGTGTTCCGTTGTGTATTGAAAGAGTCTGCCATAGAATTTCTAGGCTGTTGCACCAGAATGCTGCAGTTGAGCACCCTTCTTGGGGGGAATAATGTAGCTTGAGGCCCTGCAAAAGCATATGGACAGCAGGAGGGAAGGAAAGCACAGAAAGACTTCCAGAGAAATTATCAGGAATTCTGGGTCTCAGTCTTATGGAGAGCCATTGCTAAGCTTGTAGGACTGAATAAGATCACCCTAATACTTGCTTTTTGTATTTGGTACATGGAAGAAGCCAGCAATTTTGTTTAGGTTTTTTTAGAGCAGTTGAGTAATTTTAGGGAATGCACTTATTCTTTTTCCGTCCCAGGAGGACAGAAGTATGCTGTGTGCCTATTGGAATATTCTTAGTGCAAAGCAATTGCTCCTGGAAGTATTTTGCCCCACAGTTGTGCTAATTTCTGTGGGAAATGCACATATGGAGTCCTTTCCACCACTGCAGAAAGGACAACATGTAGTGCAGTAACCTTATTCAGGAATAGGATAAGCTTGTGGCTGCTGTTAGATGGGTCTTGAGGAAGTATGCTCCTTGTACATCCATGCTATATCAGGAAGAGATTTTGGCATAAAGAAAGGATAGCCAGTGTTCTCTTGCTATCAGCTGGGTACCATGTCTCCAAGGACAGCTAATGTGTATTACCAGCATAGAAAAAGCAACTCAAAGAGTTTCCATTCTGTATGTCAATACACCAAGAACAGTAGTAGACAAAATGATGAAGAGCATTATTAACAGTTGTTGCCTGCTTCTGCTGTTTGTAGCAATATAATTTCCAGAAGGTAAAGGTAAGCAAACTGGTGTCCTGTCCATTTCTGAGCAATTGCTGCTGAGCTACCATGATGCCTTGGTTGGTCAACAAGAGGAAGCCTTAACCACAGTAGTCCTGTGGAACTGGACTACAGAAGTTATTATGGAGTCATTGCAAAAAGGATGAATGGAAGGCTGAGGAACAGAGGGAAAACCAAGCAGTCACAAGGGATTTTCCTAGTCCTTTGTTGTAAAACAGGTTTCTAATTTCTGATTGAACAGGAACTAAGAATAGTTACTTTAATACTGTAAATTGTTTCCTCTTGCACTAGCCAGCGTTTGACAGTAGAAGTAATACTTTCCTTCGGTTTTCATTTGAAAAGGATAAACGTACAAATCCTGGATGTAACAGTCCCCTCATATATGACCCTGCACAGACACCTTTGGTACTGTATTACCAGCAGGAATATTGCTGACTATTTACTTGCAAATATTCTTTTCAATTTTGTCTTCTCTTTATAAACCATCTCCATGTGTTTCTCTGAGAAAGCTTTACTGAATATCTGTCAGTTTTCTCCTAACTCTTTTATATGATCATCATTCTGGAAAAATTTGTTAGCCTGTATGATTCCATAGTGGAAATCAGTGGATCTTTCCATGTCAGGAAGCAGTTTGTTGGCTTATGTGGAAGATTTGATCTAAAACTGTATTGTGGCTGCTGCTGCCAGATCATTGCAGTGTCTCATGAACTGGACTCTGCAAACTGCGAGTCTGGAAGATGCTGAGGATTTCTCATTCTCAGCAGCAAAACATGGGGTGTGAAAAAACACTCAGGATCTGACCCAACTGCAGGATAATTGTTTCAGTTTCTAAGACTTTGAAATGTTAAATGTGATTATTCTTCCCAACATTTTAATGGAATGCTTTTTTGTGTTTTGCAGAGCTTTGTTAGAAGGGGAGAGCAACCAGTGGATTATTACATGGAGAGAGCAGTATGGAGGAAAATTGCCTCAAGGTAAACATTGAATGTTATAAAATGGATGTTGAATTAAATATAACTGCTAACTATTGTGTTAGAGTATTCCTGAAGAATACTTTTTATGAGTGCATTGCAAAATGAATATTGGTTTTGAGTTTTAATATTTTAAATCAGCGTAGTGCTATTCTGTAATGAGAATTCATAAAACTGTGACTCAAGTGGAGGAGGAAAGTAGGGAGTGGTGTTTAATAGCTCTAATAGTGCAAGAGGTTTTTGATACCCATAGTTCTTAAGAGTGCTTTGAAGTATAAAGCAAGAGGTATCTAACAAAACATGTAGTTAAAACCACAGAGCTCGTCATCACGAGGCACATGAGGGTTAAAAAGTGTAGGTGGGTTTAAAGAGAAATTTTAGCAGAGTAATGAAAGAAAAATCCAAGACTTACTAAACATAAAGATACCATTTCTGTCTTAGGAGCTGCAAATCTCTGGAGGCTGTGAGAGTATACCAGGGAAGTATCGCTATCTACTTGCCCTGTCCTTACACACTTCCCTATGTATCTACTTCTGGTTACTGTACACAGGATACTAGATCAGATGGACCTTCGATCTGACTGCTGTGGCCACTGTTATTAGTAACAGAATTAGTCTCCATAATACTCCTGAGTTTATCAATGTGTGATGTTAAAATCACTGGGCTATCATAGATAGTAGTCCCATAAGAGATGTGAAGGCTGTGCCTGTAGTAGTGAATTAAACAGACTAGGGCCTAGGCTGAAATGCTCACATAGAATTGCTCATGCTGTTAAATTGTTAGCACTGTCCCTGGCAGTTTTGATCTGCAAACAGAGCTCAGGCACTTTTGGTGGTACCAGTGTAGGACACACTACTAAAAATCAGAGGAGATGTGGCTGGCTTCTTAGGATTTGGAGATTTGAGTTGTGTGGTACTGGTTGGTCTTGGAGTCCATCAGTTATTCCTGGTGCATGTTATTGAATTGTATAGATTGGTGTAATTCATTGTATCTCGTGGCTATCAAGGGTTGTAGTTGCGTTTTCATTTTCTAGTACATGGTGGCAGATATGCTGTTAATTCTCAATAGGAACTTCAGGCCACTTTGACTAATGAAACAAAAAAACAAGCCTAGGATATTAGCATAATTTATTTGTGATTTATTATATCTACAGACATGAATGTGACCTCTTTTAATAAGAAAGAAAAACCAAATGATGGGAAAATAAAGACTGAGATCACAGTGCAATAGATATTTAAATGCATGTTTTCTTTCAAAAATGTAGCATAAAATTTCTCAGTTCATGCCCTCTGTTCTGTATTATTTCAGATACAAGCCATTATTTTAATGTTTGGTTACTTATGCTCTTTTTTTCAGATATTATAAACACTTCATATAACTACACTGATATTTACTCTACTTATCAAGAAAATAACAGAAATAAAGCTTCACCAGCTCTCAGGATCACTGATACAAGACGCAGGATGCCAGTGACAAATACCAGCAGTTCTGCACATTATTCAGCTCGGTCAACACAGGCTGGATCGCAGACTACAGCTAGTGGAAGAGGTTTTGGAAGAGATGTACTTGGTTCAGTATATCGCCCTTCAACAACTGTTAGAAAGGATGAAAGGATTTTAACAGACCACAGAGAATTAAGAACATTTACTCCAGCTTACAGTAGCTGGAAAACCACTGAAATGCAGCATAAGACAATTCCTGACAGAAAGAAAACGGAAGTTACAACTTCATCCACAGTATCTTTTTCAAAATCAGCACATGCTGAAAGATCAGACAAGGACCACAAGCCTGACACAAAGCCCGGGACTACTGAAAATATAAGAACAAAACCAAGCTTCACTAGATTCCCAATGTATGAGCTGGATACCAATTATAAACCATCTAAGTATGAAGAAACCATAACTGAAACTTGGACCACACGAAAAGAAAACAGAGGAAGCAGCAAACCAACTGAAGATAAATCTCTGCTGAAAGAAAAAGATAAGCCAGAGAAACAAACAAAGGAGGAGGAAAGGAAAACAGATGAGAAATCCTTTAAAGAAGAAAGAAGTGTTGATTTTGGAAGGAAAATGGAGGAGAAAACATATATCCGTGAGGAAGTCATTAACCAGAAGTTAACGGGGAGTGATATTTCTAATGCAAGAACTTTGAAAAGCGAATCAATCAAAAAGGATATAAATGCAGCTTCGGAATCGAGAAGCAAAGGAGTCATTGAGATACCTATCACTATTGAAAAACCAGCTCCCGACAAAGAATCTCCCAGTAATAAAGATATAAGGTTAAAAGGTGTTAAAACTTCCATAGGAAGAGAAAATGATGAGCATGTAACTAAGCCTGCTGAAATTCACCAAGTGAGGATTTCAGAAGCAGAATCCAGTTTGAAAGATGAAGAGCAAATGAGTGACAGAAGTCACAAAATGGGATCTTTGTCAACTGAAAATATAGCAGAGAATATTGTTGCTGACATTCTTAGAAGTTTTACACATTCTTCTAGTTCACAAGTATCTACAGACACAAAAGTGACCTATTTTAATAAGAAAGAAGAACCAGATGATGGAAAAATCAAGACTGAGATCACAGTGCAATCTCAAATTCAAGAAAACATAGATATTTCTGGTGAAGCTGATGCGGGAGGTCTATCATACCAGGATGTTAGAAAAGTGGTTCGAGAGGGTGTTGAGGGAACTCCTTCCAAAGAGGAGATAGAAGATATAGTACATCACGGCCTGAAAGGCAACGAGGACAGGAAGAATGTCTCTGTTAACGTTGAGATTGTAGAGGAGCCACTAGATTATGCCACTGATGAAAGGGCTGATTTTTCCACACCTTTTGAAGTAGAGGAAGTGGAAGATACATTCCCTGAGAGAGAGAGGCGTTACGGTGAGGAGGAGCAAAGCGTAACGTTCACATATGAAGATGTTAAAAAGAAGAAACCACGCCATGAGAGTTTCACTCATGTGGAAGAAGTAACTGAGGAAGATGACTCACCTACTGAACAAAAATATTTTGTGTCTGTTCCTGATGATCATCCCATTATTAATGAAAAAGACGATGACTCAGTATATGGGCAAATACATATAGAAGAAGAATCAACTATTAAGTATTCTTGGCAAGATGAATTTTTACAAGGCACGCAAAGTAAGAGAGATGGTGTAAGCTCTCCAGAAGAAACATATCAGGTGGTAGGGGAGGAAGCAAGTGCCCATATTTTAAAAGAGCATCCTGAAGCTGAAACTTCCCATGTAGAATCCATGGTTATTGAAAAAGAAATTAAAATTCCCCATGAATTTCAGACTTCAATAAAAGGGCTTTTATCAAAGGAAACAAAGGACCCTAAACTGCAGTTGAAGGAAGCTTTGGAGCAGTTAGAGGGCAGTCTCCCAGACAGTGTGAAAGAGGAGCTATCTGCATTAACAAAACAAAGTCAAGCTGACTCCAGTAGCTTAGAGGTAGATATCAAAAAAGTTGATCAAAAGGAGGATGCTGGTGTGGTGACTATTGTTGCTGAAGTCAATCTATCACAGACCCTTAATACTGATGAATTCGATGCAGCTCAGCTTGATGAAGTAATTGCAAGTGAGAAGGAGAAGGCAACACTGCATTCCCTGAGAAAAGAGAGTTCGGAGAGAGTTGTTGATGGTGTAAGCAATATAGAAGTAGGTGGTGACAAATGTACTCCTTTGGCTGATCAAGAAATCTACAACTCCTCCACAGTGAGGAGAACTGGTAGCACAGGGTATCATACCACTGAAAAAGTTATTTATGACGGTTCAGTTTTTGAAGCTTCAGATTTTGGAGAAGTCTCTCACTCACCACAAGCTACTGATGAGACCAACACCATAAGGCATATTAGGATTAGTCCAGCAGAAGTTCAGAGATTCGAGCAGATTGTGCATGAAGGGTCTGGTGCTGAAACAGTGGAGATCAGTGCTTCAGAAGATGTTGTTCAGAGAGAAGGATCATCAGAGTTCAGCCGATCTGTGAGACATTTTAAGCTGGGTCCTAAAGAAATCCAAACCACAGAAGAAGTCATTTATTCAGGCCCTATTTCTACTACAGAAGAAATAATTTATACAGGCCCTATTTCTACAGCTGCAGAAGAGATTGATTCTGGAAATCTTTCCCAGTTTTCAAGAGACTTCAACAGGTCCACAAGACACGTCACAGTAGGATCAAGGCAAGTAACTGAAGAAGTATCTTTTGAAGGACCTGTTTCAGACTCTCTGGAGCTCAACAGCTCAGGTAACATTTCTCAGACAGAAGGGTCTGTGGACTCCAGCAAATCAATAATGCACTTCAGATTAGGTCCAAAAGAGAGTCAAACTGAGCAAGTTATCTTTGAAGGACCAATCTCTGGTAAAGTGGAGGTCAGTGACACTAGAGGCTTCTCACAGACAGAAAGTTCAGTCAGACATATTCAGTTGGGTCCCCAAGAGTTTATGACAGCTGAAGAAATCATCTACCATGGGCCTGTCTCTGAGCACACAGAAATCAGTGAACTGGAAGACCAGACTCTTTCAGGAGGCTCAGTAAAGCATTATAGAGTAGGTCAAGTGGGAGTTAAAACCACTGAACGAATCATCTATCAAGACTCCCTTTCTGAAACTCCACAGCTCATTTACCAAGAAGGACATATTTCAGAGAATGAAGGAAGCTCAGATACCAGTAGATCTTACAGGCATGTTAAAATAACTCCTGTAGAAAGTCACACTGAGGAAATAATCTTCGCAAGACCTACTTCTGAAACAGCGGAAGACCTTTCACAAACAGAAGAGTCATCTGAGAGCAGTAGGCCTGTAAAGCATATTAAAGTAGGATCCAAGGAAACATCTTATACTTTTCAAATGGATGTTTCCAATATGGGTGGAATATCTATCATAAAAAGTGGAGAACAGCAAGGAACAATGCTCGTATCCAATAACCAAGATCCTTCTGTTAGTCAGTCACAGATGGCAGAGAATGAAAAGAATGAGTTTGATAAAACTGTGCAATTGCAAAGAATGGTAGACCAAAGGTCAGTTATTTCTGATGAAAAGAAAGTCGCTCTTCTCTATCTGGACCATGAGGAGGAAGATGATGATAATGATGGACAGTGGTTCTGAAAGGACTCTTTAATGAAATCTAGTTGGTAACTTGTTTATACATTTTTTATTATCCGTTTTCTTCTAAAAAGAGAAAGAAAGGGATAGAGAGACACTCAAACTATTCAGATAATTGACAGTGGACTGAAATACTGAATCTAAGCCTCTACCTATTCAGCACACTTTTGGGGAAAAATCATGTTATTAGTATGTTTTCCTCAGAGATCCGTGTTCAATAATTTCAGATGTTTCCACCCATAGAAACAGGAATTTGCTACTAGGGAATTCAAAGGATTATATTTTGTGTTTGTTTTTATAGGATGTCAACTAATAAGTGTGTACTTGAATAGGTTTTTTAAACTTAAAAAAAAACAAATACTGTATTGTACTTGGTTACTAAAATATTCAGCAATTCTATTTAAATCTCAAGCTACTAACCACAGCTATAACAGAAAGTAAGACTAACGAGCTGGTAGGTAGCTGACTTTCAGTTCTGTTTCTGTCTATTTACATGCGATACCTAATGAAAGCATTTTAAGATTACCTAATGTAAGCATTATTACAGCTATAAAAACTAAATAGGATTCTGTAGGATCAAACTCAGCATAGCAAGAGCTGACAAAATATATTTGTGTAAAAAGAATGCAGTGAAAAAGACAGAATATTGAAGCAAGGATTCCTCACAGTATTCCTTGTGAGAAATAGTGATTTTTATGGTTAGAAAGTAGTACATTTTAGTATCATTAAAAGGAAAGAAATGATAAAAATAGGCTGGATAGTATATCCACTGAAGTAACTTCAGTGGCTATGACATGAATAACATCAACTTATTTTACAGTACATGGGTTACCTTGATACTAGGTATTGCTAAAGGTAAGCATGAAGTCAAGCATTACATAATGCCTAATTTCTTCACACAGTGAAATTAGCTGATACGTGTTCTGTTCTTGTAAAAAGAACCTGAAAAGTTGTAAAAATGGCATTGATGACACTTAGGATCATGGTGTGTGGAGGCCTTCCCACACAATCCTTTCTTTGTTTACAAATGAGAAGATGCCCTTTTCAATTGCTAGCCATGCAAATCCAACCTGAGATTGGAGTTTCCCTTTTTTCCTTCTTTTTTTTTTTCTTTTTTTTCTGGTGGCAACATTTGCTTCAGAGCAAAGTTTCTACTTAAATAATTTGAAAATAAGCTAATTTCATGTGGATTGCACATTGGTTAAATGAAGGACATAGTTTAACTTTATAATTCAGTGACTTCAAAGTCCAGATCAGAAACCAACACCACTAACTGTACTACACTGTGCAGTGCTAGCAGAAGCAAAAAATAGCAGCCAAAATATTTTTGTTACTGGGGTAAGAAGATACCATACTGGACACAGAGGAGAAACAGGATCCACAAATGAGAAGCTGCTATTTTTACGTGTACACACACACGCACATTCACTTGCTCACCCTCTCACACCTTCTCTGCAGAGCAGAAGCACACCTGTATCCGGATGGCTGTGTTGTGCCAGGCTGGTGGTTGCTGACTCAGATTAGGGTTTTTTTCCTGTGGTTACGTAGGAATAGTTTTGTGTGTGCTGTATTAGAATCCAGTTATACTATCTTACTCTGCCATGTCTAGTCATTTTTCAGATTCCTTACTATTAACAGAAGCTAGGTTTTTCAAAACTGACTGCTGCTTTATAATATGAATGTAAATGCAAAGCTGAAGAGAAGCTCCATGCTGACTGACATATGCTGTTTCAGACATGGGACAGTTTAATTGTTGTGTGCCTTCGTTACTAAGTTTGAAACGGTATAAAACTATTAATGTGCCAAAGATTAACTCTTAAGGCTTCTCTGTGCTGCAAACTTTTGTCTGTTTTCCTTCTTTTGTTTGTGTGAGTACCAGTGTACTCAGGATTGGATGTTTTTCGATCATGTCATATGAAATCATTTGTTGAAATTGGAAACATAACTAAGAGATGGAAAATGAACAGGAAACGGAGTTGTGTAGAAGCACTACAGGCATGTATGCTGAGCTCAGTGATGCTTTTCAATGTGGAATGGATACTGTTTATTCAAAATTATTCATATGTGCTCAAAAAAATGTTGTGCTTCCATTTATAAATAGGGTTTTATTCATTGTAATATTTCTAGTATCATCCTATACTTCTGTTTCCTTAGCTGACCCTATGATTTTAAAGATGGTCACATCTATTTTAATAATTGTGTATAAGTCAGAATTTTCCAGCTAGATGCCTAACTGGAAGCAATCAGATTCTGTGCTTCAAGTATTAAATAATTGTGTAAAGGGTGAAGGAAGGTCTGTAATAAGCAAGAGTTAAAAATCAGTATTAGTTTTCTTGAAGTTTTATTCTTAGCTGAAATTTATTCTTCCTCTTTAAAACAGATAGAAGAATATCTGCAGAAACTGTATTTTGTAACCATCAAGAAGCTACTTAAAAGGTCAAACCTTGTTATTGATACCTTGTGGTATCTTTGACTGACATGCTCCATAGGAATAACTGTACCAAACCTCTTCTGTTTATTTTCACCTGCTCAGAAGATTACAATGTCAGGTGAAGGAATAAACCAGTAAGGAACAAGTGAATCACAGAAGGTAGATGGACTTACAATTGAAGGAGGAGGGAAAAAAAAACCAAAATAAATCAGTATTGTTTCTAGTGAGGCCACAACATCTCTCTAAAAATTCCTTTACACATCAGTATCAGAGGTAGTATGTTATACCAAGTTATATTTTGAATGTCTGGAGGGGAAAAATTGTTCTGTGTACTTTAGTTCTATTTAAGATCAGGTTTTTTATTAACTGTTGGAAAGTTATTGTACAGGAAATGTGCATTAGCATGACATTTAAAGATATGCACAGTTCCATTGCATGAATACTTTCAGGCTGTGAAGACAAAGATATCCCTTGCAAAAAGGGCTTAAGTTTTAAAAATGTTTGTGTAAGCAGCCCATTAACCTGAAATGTTTTGACATAATGATAGCTTTTGGATAATGTTACCTTCAGGCAACAAAGCGTAGTTAGGTGGACAGTTGTATCCTTCAGGCCTGATGGTTGCATTTGCAGAAGCAGGGCTGTAGGTACATGCATGACTAGTAAGAGTAAACATGACTTACTTGTCTGATATACTAACTCACCTTGTACAATGACTTTCTGCATCAGTATTATAACCTGTGGCTGATATACCCTCGGTCAGCATGCACTTCTGAAGCTTTGTCATGTAAGTTGTGCTTTTCATTAAATACAAATAAGAACTTTACTGCTCAGTTTGGATTAAACAAAATGCTTTAAAAATATAATTAGTAATTTGAAAATATAAATATCAACTATATATTTATATGCCAATATAGATCAGAAGTGGGGCACTGTTTTCCAAATGTGTAAACCACTGGTCTAGAAAGCAAATATTAGCATAGAATATAAAGAAAGATGTGTGAAAGAGAGAATTCTGGATTGACTGATGTTTGTGAATAGCAGGTGTTTAAAAAGACGGTAAGAATGTTGAAACTGGTTTGTTGATGTCAGCTGTGTGAAACTTTGCAGGCAGCTTGTGTTTTGGTCATTTGCAATGAACCTGCATTTTTGTGGTGGTATAAGCTTTGTGATTTTACACTTTTTCACTCTTGAGTATTAAACAATCAAAATCAGTGCAGATGTTTCTCTTTCTTCCTGTCTAATGTTTTTAAGGCTGCATTGACAAAGAGAAAGCACTTCATGTCTGTAAGTATCTTGCTCTAAGGGCTCTCAGACTGATGAGTTAATTTTGGTTCAAAGAATGAATGCAATTTTTCATTCTGACAAAGACTTACCTCTTTCACTTTGATAATAGAAATGATGGCAAAATATAGCTTAATCATTATTGCAACTACATACAACATGGGTGGACAAGTAGTGGTTCAACAGCAGGTAGTGGGAGAGGCTTAGTATAAAACAACACAGAAGGTGAACTCCTGGAGTTGCCAGCATCAGTCATCCTCGGATCCTGAGATTTGACCAAGGTAAGTCTTTACTTTTACCATTTTTTAGCAAAGCTTTTCATGCATGTTTAGACATTTAATGGAAAAGGTTATATTTTTAAAAAATGGTACCTGTCTCTATTGGGAAGTTTATTTTTCCTTTTAATCACATAGTTTATCTGCAATGAAGAATCAGTCATATGAAGACTTTAACACAGTTTTCTCTTGATCAAAGAAATGGGTCATAATCAGTTTTTTTGTGTGTGTGAAAGAGTGAGGCTTTCTGAAGAGATCATCTATTTTTAATACACTAAGGAAAAACAGTTCATTTCTCGCAGAATAGGGAAAAACACTATCTGAAGCTACTAAATCACAGCATATTCTGAGGATGGTTAAATGATCAGTGAAATAGTTTCCACTGAAACTGGCCTCTGTCAGAAAAATATGTTTTCAGCCTTCATCTACTAAGTGGAGTAGTATTGCTGCTTAATCTATCTGTGGTGAAGATCTGATTTCTCTGAAACTTGAAGCGTGTCTCTGAATAGTAAGGAATGGGACTTGCAGTGGGTTGGTGTTTAATATACCGTTGAAGATTTTTTCCCTCAGTTTCCTGGATTTGACACACTTGTCAGTTGTGATAACATTTTAATGAAAATATGGGGGACTCTCAATGTTAAATTCTAGAAAGAAGTGCTTAAAAATAAATGGGGGGAAAAGGGTATTTAGTCATACTACAGGTTTTTCAAAGGTAAATTTTTTTTTCTTGATGTGTCCCTGCAACCAAATGTGAGCAAAGTAGGCAAAAATGTGCCCAATAAACAAGAATAAGCTTTTCCTAAGCTAGGAAAACCTCTGGTTTTTGAAATATGTTATCTCCATCTATTAGGTTATTACAAACCACTAGTATTGCTTTTGGGTTTAATTTCCAAATCGCGATGTGAAGTTGGTGTGGCAGAAATTTACAGCTGGCATCAAGCCTATTTTGTTCACCTACAGACCCCTTTTCAAGTAAGAAAGTTAAGGGCATACTGGCTAGAATTTGCTTTGGGTTTTTTAAACCTCATGGGAAAAGCAATATATTTTAATGAAAATGCTTCTGACAGGCTAAGATTTCTACTGTGATTCATTCTACAGTAAAACATTTACCTTGAATAGATTAGAAAACTAAAATCTAGATGTATACAAGAACTTAAGTTTATTTGTAGTCCACAAGCAGATATGGCTGCCTGGATTTTAACTTTATTTTACTTTTGGTACTGAATTTCACTGAGTTTTCTTTTTTTACTTAAGGAAATTAAACAACAGTGACTAATATCCTGAAAAGACAATATAAGGAATATGCTTGTGAAACAGATATCTTTACCTGTCAAAAGAAGACTCATGGTGGGTTGATGATTCAGTGTGTTGGTCTATGTTGATCTTTGTTTTCCGAGCTTTTTTGTGGCCCTGAAAAACAGGCAGGGAGATACAGGTTATGGTTTATTTTCAGGTCAATGTTCTTTGCCATTCTAATTTAGTGTTGTAGAAAGTGTATACCTGCAAGATAGCCAGTTATTTCATACAACTCTATAAAAAGGCAAACTCTCTTTGTACTTGGAAACTTGGTTATTTTTCTCCATAATTTTTGTTTCTTTCATTTATTGCATCATCCTGTAAAAACCATGAGATACTCTGACCACATCTGACACTATTTGCTTTTATTACTTAAGCAAAGGAGTTACTGATTTTCCTCCTGTGAGTTAGAAATAAAAGTGAAAGAGAACATATTCTTACTTTTCACTTGGTGCTTTGATTAATCAAGAGGGGTGACAGTGGCACATAATCAAATCTCTTCAGGCAATGGCTGTTAAATTGGTGACACATCTGACATTTAGAAGAGGAAAAAGTCTGAAGAGTTAGCAGTCTGAACTGCTGCCCTGGGAGCATTCCAACAGTTTGACTCATCTGTCTTTTCCATCAGGCGTTTGTGTGACTCTTGTACCTAAATATCTCTGAGAAGTGCAAAGGAACTTAGATTCTAACAAGATGCAAAAAGATGCTAAGCCAAGAAGAGTTCTAATTAAAAACTCACTCTGAATGTCAGCAGTTCCTTGAATTGCTATCAATCCTTTTTTTTATTGTGGGTGCCAAATGAGAGTTGTAAGTAAAGGAAGTACAATGCTTAATTCAATGATACAAATTTCTTAGACTCTCACTGGAGTAAACTGATAAGGAGAACCCAGATACATCTATTTTTCACAAGTATATACAGATGTACTGAAAAAATAGTATCACTCTGAATAATAGTCCTGTGACAGTCAAACTAAATAATAATATGGTTAATTTCATTAAATCCCTCTGCTTTCATAAAGACATTGCCTCTAGCAATGAGCTGTGCACTGAGGCAGAAATGTGAATAAGATAATGTATTTGCTATCACATTACTGGGAAGTGTATTTATTGTAGATGGCTTTGACTATACAGTGGTGAACACTTACATAAACATTGGTTGTTACTTAGCTATCATTGCTAGTGCAGCCCAGGTTCTGTTCAGCAAGAGGTTTTAGTGAGAGCTTGGCCAAAGGTGTGTGTATTTTTTTGAGGCCAAGGAAATTGCTCTTGCACCAGAGCTCTAGAAATTAGCATTAGGGTTTTATAAAGAAATCGCTGATGAGACTGCTAATATTTATTCTCCCTTGCTTGATGCTTTCCTGTTGAATGCTATTGTACCCACAGAAAAAGATAATGTGGTTCTATTTAAGCAGAGCCTGCCTCAACCAAATTTTCAGCAAATACCACAAGAAATTTTATTAACTAGTTTTATGGTTGGTTTTAAATGCAATACTCTAAAGTTTTAGTCTTTACTTTTGCAGTTAGACACGAATGTACAAGTTTTCAGAGATGCACTTCTCAAATGCCAGTGATGCTTCATACAAAGGTAGGTCTTGTTCCTGTAGTGGGAGGAAATCTGAATGCTTTCAAGCCCACTAGCTCTAAACATCAAGATTTAATTTCAACACTCAGTATATTAAAAACAAATAATTTGCAAGTACCTTCATGAACTCTGAGAGGCAGATGCAGAGATGGACATTCATATCTGATAACTGGCACTACAACTGAAAAAAAGATGTTTTTTCATCATTAGGTCTGTGCATGGTATAATGTACACGTAAGGATCCTGCGGTGATTTGGAGACGGGCAGAGAGAAAGTAGGAAGAGGATAAGGCTGGTAATCTATCCCTTCCTTGTGTTGAGGGTAAATAACATACGGCATTAGTGGGTATTTTAAAAATGTATTACGGGTATTAAATCAACTTTATGAGGCCTCTGTAGAAATCCCTATAATTTTATATACACTATTAGACAATTAATATTACTGGGAGGAAAACAGAAAAACTGGGGGGGGGAGGGGGAGGGAGGAGAAGGCTTTGACACATTTTTGTATCTCTCTCCAAATTAAGCCCTGTGGAACCATTCTAATTTTTCAGTGCAGGCAGGGTCTTTGAGCTGAGCATTGATTAAAGCTGCTTACTGCAAAAGCACTATAGTCCCAACTTCTAATTGCTTTTTATACTGAAGAGCCAGACTGTTTGGCACACTCAGGCCTGCATCTGGAAAAACTTCTATTGAAATGGTTTCCAGACAGCTATGCTGGAAACTACAGCTGCCGTTAGAATGCAGAATGGACAGTTAAAACAGTCCACAAAAACAGCCTATGCTAACAGACTACCGGCTTTGCTTTTTGAATCCTGAATTGGCCAACTTTTGTTGGCTTGAATTCAGCTTTGCAAGTTTCATCTTTTCATTAAATTTTGCTACTCAGCATCAGATTAGTTGTTAAAAAGGAACAGTCTGCACATTTTTTTCTCATTGAAAAAAAAATCTTTCTCTAGAATTTGGTCAAGTTTAATAAACATCTTCCTATTAGACCAGTAACAGCACACTTCTGGGTAGAGTAATAGGAATTTCCTGCAGAAGGAAAAGAGCAGCTTCTGGGCAATGTAATGTGGAAAAAAAAATCATTACTGTAGTGTTGTGTATTCTTAAGTGAGCCATAATACCTCTTAGACCGCTGTAGATGCTTTTGAAATAAAGTAAAAGATTGCACTTTCATAAAATCCAACAAGCTACTTTCATTTTGTATAGGAAATGTTTCTAAGAGTGGTTGTTACTTTCAGTACTGAACTTGCCAAAGAGGAGAGGACAATCAAAAACGCTAATTTCTTAGCTTTTTTTTTAAGAAAGACAATAAAAATAGAAAACATTGTGTTAATTCTTTAAAAGAAATGTAACACAGCCCATTTTTTTATTTAATAATTAACTGTACATCTTATTTTACACCATGGTTCAATTAAGACTAAATAGCAATAGGTTAAACTGGTGTTATAAAACCTAAATTGGAAATCTGCTGTTTATGGGACACCAAATATGGTTTTGCTTACTTGTAGCTGAAAATAGTTTAACCTCCTTTGAAGCACAGAAATTCACTTGAAGTGTACAGTAAAACTAGGGAAAAACAAAAAGTAAAACTTGCACTAGCATTCCTAAGTGGAGCTAGTTCTGTGTCAGAACAAAACCCTAGTGTTCTTAATAAACATATTAGTCTTCCCTTCTCTGGAAATGTACAGAGTTTCCAGAATTACTAAAATCATTCCACTGAGTTGCTAAATTATAGTAAAATTGTTTCATGTAAACCAGTTGCTGGCAGGCCATTTTATATATTGAATGATCCCCCTCTTATTCTGGCAGAATACCTTTCAGTTTAGTGGAGTTGAGGGCAGAAGCAACAGCATGTTTCTAAGCAATGATTTGAATGTGGTATGATTTGCAAAGAATGGCTGATAGTTGCACCCTGATCCCCCATCATTAAAGTAAATAGTAAGTGGAACATTTACTTCATGCAAGGCACCATCAAACCCATAGCAATGTAACCTGCTGCCTCCCTTCTGGGACTTGTTTTCAGTGAATAGTATGGAAAATATTATTTTTGGAAAGCAAGCAGTGATGACTCCTGCTCTTTTGTCTTGAAACAGAGCAATTATTTTGTGGTATCATAAATAAAACACTTCCTGCCGGCAAAAGCAGAGGGGGGGAACCTCCCATTGTCAGTGCCTGTGAGCCACCAGCCAGATTCCCAAGAGTATAGGAGGGCTCTGGCAGACGGGCTCTGTCACTTGAAATTATTGCCCCCAGTTACCTGCCAACAATTAGTGTTGTTTCAAGGACAACAGAAGGGGACATGTGCAACTTCTTCACCTTCTACAGTTCAAACATGAGTGTCAGTGTTGTCTTAGAGTGAAATAGGTATTGGTTAAATTCCTATTGCAACTGCATAGCTGGCTGTGAGCTCTGGATCTGAGCGGGTGAACAGCCTTCTGTGCTGCTCTCGCAGGAACCTGGTGTCTCTTAGTCTTGTTACATTAATGTTTTGATGCTTGCTTGTTGCCCCAATGCCATGATTCTAGCAGGGGAAAGCAGGGAAGTTAGCAGAGATCATGATAAATCCAGTGTTCCTTAAGGAGAAGAGTACTTGCCTCCTACAAAAGCAAAGTTTTCAGGAGTGCTGACAGGGTAAGAATCAAGATAGCTACAGATTAATACTACATAGCAGAGCTGAAAAGCGTAACTTTTTCCATGAGCTATGGAGTGCAGATGCCAGCATCAGATTCTCCAGCAGAATCAGTCAGCAGCAACTACAAATATGGGATATATCTTCACTGCTTGCTTTCGCACTTCCCTAGTTCTGTGGATGATTTGGATGAGCCAAGTTCCTGTTGCCGAGATGAAGAACCCTGGTTCATTGCAAAGAGTCAGCCAGAATAAGATCTGCCAGGGTATAAATTGCCTATCTGAAAGGCAACTTTATAACACTGCCAACTCTTCAGCGAACGGTTGTACCTGCTTAGGTTTCATGTGTGTTGTATTTGAGTGCCCTTTTACACGCTTTGTCACTTCCAGGCGCCCCTCTGTCTTGGTTACTTCTGGGCTAAGATCCCTGTATGTGGTCATTCTAATTCCTGGCCCTTCTTTCAGCAGTGCAGTTGCTCACTCTGGGTGAAACGGTGACAGAAACATTCAAGAACCGACGGTCAGAAAAAATTAGTTTTTCAGAACAAAAACTAATTTTTGTTATGAAAGAAGACGAAAATAATTCCCACTTATTACAAACCCAAATCTTCTCTGTCTGCTACCTAGAGTGGGGAGTTTGCGATTGTATTCCATGAATTTTAGTTTGGCACTGTAGTTATTCTCCTTAAATGTAATTCAAATGCATGTGTAAGAATTTTTGTCCCTAAAGCCTGTTGATTCCCTGTGTTAGTATTTGCAAAAATACAGAATATGAAAAAAGGCAGGGTCTCTATTAGTAACGGCAGAAGAAGGAAATTGTGGCTAACAAAGGAAATGTAGACTTGTGAATGTATTCCACTGTGGAAGCACTCTCCCAGTGCATTTAAATGGGCACAGTATATTCAAGAACCTCCTCTTGCTCATGGCAATAGCACAGACAAGCTTTTCACTTGCTTCCAGGGAAGGTTTAACACAGTGGAGAGGTAATGACTAATTGTCTACACTTTGAAAAAGGTATGTGTAGCTTCTGCAGTAAATTTGCAGAATTACAAAACTAAATTATTTCTGCATGTACACCTGAGATCCTATTTTCCTAACTGAAAATGAAGCTAAGAAGCATCTACCTTGGTCCTGTTCAAAAGCAATTGAATTGGTACTGCCTTCTGTGTTTGTGTTACTGACTAGCATTAAATTCTGTTCTTGACTCTTAAGTTACCCAATATGTACGTTCTTGTTTAGAGCATTAGCTCACTTTCTAAACCCTTGGCATTTGGGCCAGTCTGTAACTGGTACCTCAGTGGTAGCTATTTTAATCTTTCCTATGATCACTTGTCACTACCTGGTGAAGTTAAGGAGCTCTTTCTCTCATTTTATTCAGGTGCTACACAAGTGGAGAGAAGTATTGCTCCTGCACCTCCTCATAGTTAAAGAGTGTGAATGGCAGTTCAGCTCTGTGAAGAAGGGGTTAGTTGCTACTCTGATATACTCTGTTTGTGACATTTGTTTGTACATGCAGATATATACATCAGAAGTGCCTTTCTAGTTTGTTGTACTCAAGCACATGCTATTTTAGGCTGACATTTTCCAACCTGTCCTGAGGGAGTTAGATGTCTAAATTAAATTCAGTTTGACTGATTGGGACATTGAACATCTCTGAACTAAAATCCTAGTGATAGACAGTGGGCCTTTATTAAAACACATTATTTGCTTTTCAGTAAAGCAAAAATATATGTCTACATCTAATTTTTATAACAAAATGGCCATATAATTGAATTGTGAATGCACATATAGGACTTGAAGACTAGGATGATATTTTATTAAGTAAACATGAAAAATACACATACTGAAAGCACAGCTGCCATAGTGTTAACAGCACCGAGCTGCTTTGATTTGGAAATGATATAAACACTTCCTATGAAAACTCTGTACTCTTGTTGATTTAAATATGTATTTGATTGAGTGACAAGTAATTCATTATAGCTGGTTCTCTCATGAAAATGAATGTATATTTTTCATGTTTGACTTTGATGGTAGAAATGAAGTGTTGAAAAGCAATGGCATTGAACGTGATCCATGTTGAACCTCTGATCAGTGCCTCAGTCTAGTATCATACAATGGTATTTCTGGACAGAAATGTGAATAAGAATTTAGGTTCTATTCCCAAATCCTCACTTAAAACTTATAAGCAATTTTTTAGCAAAATGCCATGAATATTCTGAAGCTTAGTTTAATCATCTCTCAAATGAGTTTAAAAAGCCCAACAGTCTTAATGAGGCACAGTAGTGGTTTTGAAACATGTTTAGATGTTCATATCAAAGGTGCCATGAAATTCTATACCATAATTTATATAATAAATTGTAAGGAAAGTACTAATGTGTTTTGCACAGCGTGAGGGCTGACATATATAAGCATGAAATATAAATTGGGAAACCTTACAGCAAATAGAACTGATTTCAAAATAACTGAACATGGCCCAAATCTGCCATTGAAATTCAGTACAATTAGCCTTGTACAGAACTGTGACAACTGCAACTTGGGGAAGAACAGCAGAGTTAGAGACATGTCTGCCTGCCTGGTGCCTGCTGTGTTGTGCAGACTCTCTATTCAAATGCTCTTTAGAGAACACAGTCTGGAAAGGCCTCAAGCATTGAAATGCAGAGAGGGAAACAATTCCAAACAAGGCTGCCTGTGTGCAGCCCTGTTTCTGGTATCAACCTTGAAAGGTTTACACTGAAGTTCTCTGCCTCACAAGCTACTTCAGATTAGTATAATTTATGGAAAGGGCTATAAACAAAAGGCAAATGTCTCGAATGCTTTTCAGTGCTGGGGAGAAGTGTTAGGAAAGTCTGACACCAGCTGACACTAGCCACCCTGGTGAGGCTGATCTGTCTCAGGTTATCATTATTTTGCAGGCCAGCATAGTAGAAAATAACTACAAGACTGTCATCCATTGATTTCCCTTCTCCAAACTGACAGTGCATCCAGAATAGTTGTGATGAAAAAAAAAGAGAATTTGATAGAGCTGTTTTGGCAATCACCTAACCCAGTGTGAGCAGTTATCCAGCACAGCCTGTAAAACTTGGAACTGGGAGAAAACATACTTATCTTCTAAAGGCTTAGGGAAGATGATTATTTGTGGTCTGTATGTCTTTGGAGTATTAGGAAGTTTTATAAAAATAGTCATAGGGATAACGTGCGAACATTGGTAAGTGCCCTCAGAAGGGACAGCTATGTCTTTTTGCATGCAGACCAGTCAGCCACTACAAGCATGTATAAGCATAAAAACTTATTTTGAAATGAACTGAATTTAGAAAGGATGAAGTTACCAGCATTTTCTACCTCACTGTCCACTATCAATTTGCTATTGATGCAATTCAATTGCAATTTCACAAGGCCAGAATGTTCTGAGAGCTGCTTTACCTGTGTGATCCTCTCTCATCAGTAATGTTAAGGAAGAAAGTCAGCACATTCCTTTCAATATCATCTACAACTGATGTTCTTTTGCAGTTGACAATAGAAGTCTTTCCAGAAAGTTCTCACCTTTTGGAATGACTGTTCATGGGATTTCTGTGTTTCAGGATGTAGTCCAAAACATCTTTTTATTTTTTCATCCTCTTTAATCCACCTAACAATAGAAGGACGAAATAACTGTAGGAAGTTTTCTGGCTGCAGTATGAGCAGTGGCTTTTCTTACCCTTTTAAGGAAGTTTTCTCTGTGGTCTCTAAGATTTGTAAATAGCTCCAGGAAATGAAAGCTTTTAAAAAATCTCAAGTGGACAATTTGCATGTGTGGTTGCAGTTTACTGGGAAAAAAGCTGAATAGTGATCTGTAGCCAGAATTTATATGCTATTGCACTCATCAAATATTGCTAATTGTATCAGTTGCACTTGTAAGTTTGGATTGTATGCCATTTTGAAATGATTCTTGCTGGTGCCCCACTGGAGATTCAGTGCAGTCCCAGACATGATACAGTTCTAACCCAGGGTTCATATATTAATATGCCATCCTGGAGGCCAAACTTTAGTCACTATGTTGGCTATATTATGGGTTCCTTCCTGCCTTTCCAGGTAGGATTAGATAAGGAGGAGGACTTGTACCCAAGCCTGCTGGGATTGTTCAGCTTGGAGAAGAGAAGGCTCTGGGGAGACCTTAGAGCAGTCTTCAGTACCTAAAAGAGGCTGACAAGAAATCTGCAGAGGGACTATTTACACGGGCATGTAGCAATAGTACAAAGGGGAGTGGCTTTAAACTGGAAGATGACAAATTTAAATGAGATATTAGAGAAAATAATCTTCCCTGTGAGGGCGCTGAGGCACTGGCACAGTTTGCCCAGAGAAGCTGTGGCTGCCCCATCCCTAGCAGTGTTCAAGGCCAGGTTGGATGGGACTTTGAGCAACCTGGTCTAGCGGAAAATGTCCCTGCCTGTGGCAGAGAGGTGGGAACTGAATGAGCTTTAAGGTCTCTTCCAACCCAAACCAGTCTAGGATTCTATGATTGCTAGTTCTTTGAAAGACAGTTCTTCTGTCTGTGACGGTATAACCTCCACCATTTGTGAAAAAGGAAATTCTCCTTTACATACTGTATCTTCTGTAGGTTTGGATTCTACCAGGTATTGAACAAACAGCAGCAGAGGTCAGAACAGAACTCATCTAAGAGCTTATGTTGTGCTGCTTTTATCTGTTTACCTTTGCTCGTCTTTCAACATTGCTGTTATGCGTTTGTCTTGCCTTTGTCTTTCATCAAGGGAAAGTACCTTTAGTAGTTGTTTCATACTGTTTCAGTGCAGTCCTTTCCTTAAGGAACAAAAGGAAAAGGATTAAATATTTTCAAAACACCAAGCATTTGCCATTCACCCTGTATTTCTCTGAAAGACCTGTACGTGGGGTGAAGAGGTCAGGGATGGAACACCTACAAATGCAAGTAGGAAAAAAATATCTGCTTCACTGACAGTTTTCTCTGCATCAGGGATGGCCAAGTCATTGAGAGCTGAGCTTCTCTTCAGCAAAATACAACTTATCCTGTCAACAACCCATACAAACTTGACATATGCTGTTAAAGGCTGGCATACTGTCCCACATAAATCTTCCATGGAAGTGGGCTTCTTCATTTCGTAGTACTGCAACATGTTATCAGTTTCCTCTCTTTCCCCTCTTATTGATGGGTATATTAAGACTATTTAGACTGATATAAAGTAGAGGCCAATACGTGGTGCATTTATCCACCTGTTTTCCAGATTTAGACTGACCTATTTCTCATCACAGTGCGTATCTCAAGTTGAGTAAGAAAATTCATTCAAATTAAAAAAAAAACAACAAAAAAAGAAAAACCACCTGCAAAACCCCCAATTAAACAACCCTCTGTCTCCACAAAAAAATAGTTGTTAGGAGATCATGGATATGATCTAAACCAGCAACAAAATCTAAACCAAACCGGGTTTCATCTAAGCTATATGCA